CACATACCTCAACTATACGATGGAGCTAAGAATTTTGGGGGTGAACTGAACAGTTATTCTCCCAAAAAATATATTTTAGGAAGAGTGGGAATATTCCATTATAGAAAATAAAGAAATTGGAGGTTTGGCTTTTGTGACGTACTAGTCACAAATAAGGTTTCAATCATGAAGCTCATTTGGCGGTTCCTTTAACACCTAGATATCCAATGGGCTAGAGATTTATGGGCAAAGTATCTTAATTATGATTTATGATTCATCCTTTTGGGATGTGAGGAGGGCATGTCCATTCCCTTCTCAAGGGGGTTTAGACGGGGCCATAGTGTCATGGGGTTAGTTTTGCAGCGGAAGAAACCCATGTGGCGTTCAAGACAAGCCTTTGTGTGTGTAAGGGCTATGAATTAGTCTGATGAATGGCTCCACCAAGGTCGGTGGCACTGGATCATAACCTTGTGACACATGGGGTAGCCCGATAAGGCAACCATTGTGCTGATGATGTATAAAGGCAATCGTTGGGTCATGAACACTCCCGTGCATTGTGGGAAATGGGGTAGCTCGATTAGTTTAGACATAGAACTAGCAAGGCGTAGGGACATGCTTGGGCTAGACCCACATGGGAAACCTCCCCTTCATGTGCGTTGTGCAGTGTAGGTCCATGCATTGTCCCCATGAGTGTACGTGTGTGTGCCCATGAGGAACCCTGGTTGCCATGTTAGCCATTAACTAGGGCTGCCCCACAAGGGATGTTAGTCTATAGAGTGCCAAGGTTAGGCACCCAAGGAGGTCGAGCATCCCTTCTCAAAGAGAACGTTAAACATTTGGGGGTCTATCAATATGAAACACAACTCTTCTAAAAAATCAGACTGACAATATTTACAGTAATGTCACTTAACAAAAGCCCACCAAACATAAATAAGGCTAAACTTGTATGAAACCATGACAATAACCTTTGATTGGCAAATCAGGATGTTAGATGGTCGGTGCATGGGTGAAAGTTTGGAGACCAAGGGCCATTTGTACAGCTGGTTTGACTTCTAATGGGTGAAAGTTTAGAGAGTTGACCAGGATTCCATACTTTCTCTCTCTTTCTAGTTCATATTACTGAAGTTATATGGCGCTCCCAATCCCATCTCCCTTCAGTCAGATACCCCCTTGGGATATGATGTTTTGGAAGTTCAAGCACTTGCTGCCAAGTTTATTTGTTGGGTGCTAAAAGTTGGATTCACAGTGTTCCCTTTGTAATGAACAATGAGGAGTCGATGGAGCATATTCTTCTCTTGCTGTCTCTTGGCGCATTTGATTTGTAGGTCCCATGAGTATGAGGGTGAGTGGTCCCTTACTGATTGGATGTATTTTTTGTATTCTTGGGATCGAGTTCCCAGCAAATACTTCTCACTTATCTGTCCTTGCCCAATCCTTTATAGTGCTATGACAAATTTGGCAGGCTCAATGCAAATTGGTGTTTGACAATGCATTTTTTATTCTCACCATGTTGTTAGAAAATAAAAACCTATTTAGGGATTTCATTCAGTAACTTAAGCTTTTAAGTTAAATGTTTCTTTGATATGATAGCGAAGCATGTATTATAAAGTGGTTTAGTGTTCGATTTTCGTAACCCCATTATAATTATTAAATTATAGCACAAGGTCTAGGTGGGCTTATGCTTATTCACTTCAAGTCCAGTGGGCTTTCTCATGAGGAGGCTTGTTAGAAAATAAAAACCTATTTAGAGACCTCACCTAAAGATATATTCATAGGTCAGATAACTTAAGGGTTAACCCAATCCGGCCCATTCTTTTGTTAGGCTTGGACAAAATTTTAAGCCCATACTAAGTACCAGGCTTGGCCATTTATGGAATCTAACTCTGACTTTTTCAAATAAACTTAGCTCGATAATATTGGTTATAATTGCAGTAGTTTAATATATCAACATATTGGTCATAATCATAGTCAATCATATAAAAAGTGAAACATTGTAGCAAGAGGCCTTTTAGACCGGTAGGTTTATAATGAATGGTCATACGACTCATACCCAAACCAAAAGTCCTGAATCCTGGAACAAGCCCAGACCAGGCTCAAATAATAACTATAGTACACTTGAAAAGGGCCCATTGGGGGCTGTCCAGTCCCTATCAATTCTAAACTACATTGATGTTTTTAGGCTCGGGGAGTGCAATAGATGAAAAGTACTTCTCTGTGATTAGAGATTCTATCATACCTACTCCTCTTTACCCAACCCTCTCTACCCAATTGCATATATCTTCTTCACTCTATATAAATTATAATGTCTATACATTTCAAAGTGGTTTACCAGAAAAAAAAGAAAGTCAAGAAGAGTGCACTTGCTGCTCATCACCTACCTATACCACAAAGGATTGATTGCTGGTTTACAATGAGAAGTGTGGTTGTTGTCTTTGGCATTTGGATATGTAAATGTAAGGGTTCCATACACTTCAGTTCAAATCGTCCACAGTTCTATTTGCAATACTTGGCCAATCAAGATGTACAACCCCAGCTCTATCATACGTGCATTTCATTTTCATATTTAGGCTGTTGTATTGGCCCGGTACCCTCCCGTCATAATAGAAGGTTTTGAAGTGACATTTTGCCTTGTCAATGGGTGGGGGCTTGTTTGGTGTATAGGGTTGAGCAGTCTTAACTGATTATTAATCGTTCTTATTAAGATAGATTCAAAGCTAAAGGCAATTATTAATTGGAATAATTCGGTGTGATCTGATAAGACCCAATTAAATTTGGCATTTATAATTACTTATGAAATAACAAGTTGAAATTTCTTATTTGATAATATAACCTTATTAAAAATTGGCTGTAAGTAATAAATTGTTTATATGTTAATAAAACGAAATAAGTTTGGTTGAACGTGATAGCTATTTAGCAGGCTGTGTGACCAATGACAACGCCCAATACCAGTCATAAAAAAGGATATAATTCACAATCACTTAGGCTCAGTTTGGAAGCAGTACATATGCAAATATGTACAACGTAAATACATACAAAATATAAGATTTTGTACTCTACATATTTGCATTTGTGCTTCTTCCAAACTCTGCCTAATCTATCACATAGCATTTAGAGCTTCCGAGGGGCATTTTCATTGGTTTCACACATAGCCATTGCATTCAGCTAATCCGAATTCTAATAAAACAACAAGTGTTTTAACCAAAATGATCTTATATACTGTCTATAAAATTTACTCTTTTAGACATACATTAAAACAAAAATTATAAAAAGAAGATACCTTTATATATTATTAAATGCAAAAATTATAAAAATCAGTCCTAACCCAATAATTATAACCGGAAACAAAACTGATAACCAGAACCTATAAAATTGGTTAGGTTGGTCTGATACATCAGGTAGAAGCAGCCCATTCACATCTCTATTCCTTTACTTCCCATATACAATTTCAAAAAAAAAAAACTCACAAAGAAATGTATATTATAAAAATAAAAATACACAACTAATAAGATCTATAAAACAAAAGAAAAGAAAACTAGTTTTAGAAAACGTCATTGATTCTGCTGTTCTGTGCTGTTGCACGTAGCCGTAAAATTCTATTATAAACATTGACAGGCTTCTTCTCTCTTAGTTGACTTAATTTTTAAAATCATTAATATATAAATATAGATTAAGCAAAACCCGGGAATCTCTAGTTAGTTGCCACTAACTTACAAAAGAATTTAAACCCACAAGAAAAGTTTAATCAAAATATTAGAAAAGAGAGGCCCACTAGTAACGACTGATGAGGTAGGCTTAACTAGAAGCGCCTATGTATTAGAGAGCCCATCTGAGAAATTAGCTCAACTAAAACTAAAACTATAGCCTTAACTTAACTAAGCCACAAGTGGGTCCAGTATGGGCCACCAGAAAGAAAGGTCCAAATTTCTATTTAATAAAACAAATATAAAGGTCCATTAACCATCTCATCAGTCATCACGGTAAAGGTGCATCCAAGTAACTGTACGATTCAGAACCTCGGATATTAAGAGCACGTATCTTCTTTAATTTGATGAAAGGACTACGGTTAAGTGGTACTCCATTAGAGTACCTGATACTCACAAAATAGAATATTATATTTCCCAGTTCTCAGTATCTGAGAAATGGGAAATTTTATGGCGCATCTAAATCTAAGGTCCATTTAATTTTAATGTCAACGGAACCAGTCCTCCATGAATAAATGAATAAAATCTGTATTCTTTCGTGACTACAGTACAGAGTACGGGGGGGTCCACACGTCTACCCAATTTCAATTTTCGACAGCATTTTTTTCGAGGTGGGCCACTGACCAATCGGCCCATTAGATGAAGCAGATCACACAAAATTCTATGAATAGAGAATATTTGTTCTTGATCGTAAATGTAGTATTGTTGATGTGCGGCGTTGGGACAAGTCAGACAATTGGACGACGCACCTTGCAATTTATGCTATGATTCCCTTTTGAGTTTTGGCCAACTGAAAAAGTAAAAAAATAATAAAAAGTAATATTACCGATTACGTGGTGGAGTGGAGTAGCTAAATACTATGCATCGACGAGCGTGTCAAAAATCAATCAATTTATTAAACTAATAATAATGAAATCATCATAGGCACTAACTAAAGTAAAAGAGAATTAATTGACCGTCGTTTCAAGTTCAAGTTCAAACCCTTCACACTAATATTTCTTCTCACTTCTCTCACTCATCGTAAAATGCAATGGAACTTCCAAGGTCATTTCTTTAATTTTAGGGTTAAATCTGTCATTTAGTACAACTTTTATATTTTTTTATTGTTTATTTTTTATAGATATATATATATATATATATATATATATATATTTTTTATTGTTGGTGAAGGGGAAAAAAATAGGAAAATACCAGTACATTACAAGGAAAAGACGGACAAAATTTCCGGGAATTTCTACCAGTCTTCTTCTGAGTTCTGACTGATGTAGATTATTGTATTTTTCTTTTATCTTTAGAAAAAGTGGATATTAATTTTCCTGTAAAATTCGACCTCCATGTATATATATTTCTGGACAACCGGCTCTTCTTCCCTTGGCCCTTATTCCTTACCATTCCTTGTAAACGTTTACCTCACAGCTTTCTTCTATAAAATTCCATTTTTTTTTTCAAAAATTTTCAATATCCTTTCTTGAATCCAAATTTATTTGTGAAAAATCAGAGCTAGTCATGAATTCCTGCAAAGACTGTAGATTGTCTCCTTAAATCCCCCTCTATTCATCGTCTGCTGTTTATTTCTCTCTGCGGAAACTGAAGTTCTTTTGTATTTTATGAGAGCTAGGTACTGACAGTCTGTGAGGAGATAAAGAGAGACCAACTGCTCAGAAACCCACTTGTTGCAATCTCCGTGATCTCATAGATTTACGAGATTTTTTATTCGCCTTTATCCTGCTCCTTCTGGAGCGACAATGGTTTAGACCTGCAAACCTTCAACCTTGCAGAGTGTTCACGTCATGTCTTTCGGGCAGAGTCTTAAGCTGTTTACCACCAATACATGAAGTTTCTGCTCCTGGGTTTTAGAAATGGCAGCTGTAGAGAAGTCCCATGTTGATATAGAGGAAGGAGGTGGTCGTCGTCGTTCTGTTGCTGCAAGCGATGCAGGGAGTGAGGAAAGTGTCTGCTTCTCCGATGCTGACGACCGGTCGTGGCACTCCCAGTTCGGTTCCACTGCCTGTGGGTCGTATGATGAGTACAGGTTCTCTAGCGTGTCTGATCCCGAGAATGTGGAGAGTTCAGTCCCCCGGAGGAACTCTTCGGCGTCGGATTGCTCGGTGGAGGTAGATTTAGAAAATGGGGTTCCGGAGATTAAAGTGCATTTAGCTAAAGTAGAGAAAGACTGCAGGATTTGTCACCTAAGCTTGGACAGCACTAATCAGGAATCTGGAATTCCTATTGAATTGGGTTGTTCCTGTAAGGATGATTTGGCTGCTGCCCACAAGCAATGCGCTGAGGCCTGGTTTAAGATTAAGGGAAACAAGTAAGTAGAAAGCCCTAGCATTACTGTGTTTGGTTATAAAATTCAACCTTTTATGCTCGATTCCGTTTTTCTGTAACAAAAACCCTTTGTGTGGTTTACTTATTTGCCGACTTAAGATGCTCATGGAATTTCCCTACAGCGAGATGCTTCTGTTCATTGCTGTATCTCATCTATTGCATACCGTGAATTTGTGAATTCCCTTTGCAAGTTGGTAATTTTTCTGGTAAATGAGGAAGATATCATCCAACATTAGTCATATCTGTGATATTAATTTGAAATTCTTGTCTAGGTTCTAAGCGCTAGTTTTTGAGGCAGAACGTAGAGTATAAGGATCTCATTTAATGTAGAGCACATGGTTTTAGAAACTTAAATGGGAAGCAACTTGCTTCTCTGTCGTGGATTTCATAAAAAAGGGTGGAAAGTAAAGCAGATTATATTAAACAAAGGGCATCAGGGAAATAAAGCAAAAGTTAAAAGCATCAGGAAGTTCTGTTTATGTATCTAATTTGTGCCAATGATTCCTTTCGCCTTTGTTTTAGAGTTCCAGAACGGCAATTGCAGTTTCTCGTCCTCTCCTTTCTGGTTTCTCATTTTCTTCTTGAAAGCGGTGATTTGACCCTTATTAATGTAATTGCCATCAAATAGAAGGATTTATTACTTGGAGATACTGTCAAGATGATATTCTGATTCGTTCACTAAATGGAGAATTGTAGACTTTCCATTTGTTTAATGTAAATGCAATATGCATTTCTACAGAAGCATCATTTCATAATGCATTTCACTTCAACGAAATGATCTGAATAACATTATTTTTAGGCAAAAAGGCAATTTCCTTTAGTCCCAAATAAATTGGATCCATCAGACATTAGAAACCATCATGAGTTTTGACCTCTGATCAACCTAAGAACGCCTATCTGGGTTGATATGATTTGTTTCAATTTTCAAACTCGTATTTTAATGGTACACCTGTTACAACGCCATTTGTACTATAAGGTGTCCTGGTGTTGTCTTCGACTTTATGAGTTCATTTCCATATCTGGTTTTCCGAAATCCTGATATTAGGCATATCCTGTTTGTGCCTGAAATTAGCACACTCTTGTGTGTCCAAGTTAAATGTCCCTTCCCCATTTATGGGATTTTATTTCTCTGTGTATGCATATTTTTTCTTTCTTCTCATTCTATACTATCAAGTGGAGAATGCATGTATCACTTTGACTAGATTGTTACCAATTTTCTACTTGATTCTTTTCCTATCGAATATCTCCATGGGTTTTTTCATTTTTTTTCCCCAAAATGACCCTTCAACTTGTTACCAAAATGACCCTTCAGGATTTAGGCCAGTCCAGGAGTGCATCCAGGAACGGCCACTCGGAAGACCTCCCTGAATTTTTCATTGGATAATGGCTTTTATGCTAGGGGCGGTAATGGGCTAAGCTCTCTCTGGATGGGTTTAGCCCAGTCCCATACTGGCCTAGAATGACCTTTTCTGGCCCCAAGATCTAGTTGCTTGCCACCCTGTCCAATACATCTTCCTTTCTGCTTATGTTATTAACAGCATCAGCCAACTTGATTCTGCTTATATTCATATCTGTGGTTGTGGAGGTATAGACTAAAAGAGTAATTTTTCGTTTGACTATTAACTAAATGAAGCTAAAAGTATTTTAGCCTTGGAAAAGGGTTGAGTTGTCAGTGTTTTGGTTTTATAGTCCCAAGGAAGGAAAGAAGAGCAGGAGGGCAGATCCTAGAACTTTATTTTAGGTCTTTAATTCCAGAATCTCTCCTAAATTACAGAGACTGCAAATTCTAATTATAGAAAAAGAAAAACAATTAATAGAAAGGGAAATAAACTCCTTGCCATAAACAGAAATGAACTTTTTACAATTACTAAATAAAGAGTTACAGAGAGACCAGAAGATAAAGGAAGTATGTATGAGAAGCATAAAATAGGCCCAAACATGTAGAACAGATAAATAAAGTAATAAATTTAACTTTGAGGGTTTATGATCTGCTGGTCTAAAATATTTACATTATCAACAGATGTAGCAATCATGACCCCCATCGTCAATTATTTTCATCTCCATTTGGAATAATAATCTGAGCCATTCTGATTACTTTTTCATATGTTCGAGTGACCCATGACTGCCTTTTCAAACATTTCTGCCAGAATTGCATGTCTCATTGTTGACCTTGTTTACCTTTTACTTGTATCCCAGTAGTGCAACTTCTGTCTTTGTCTTGCTATCAGTATCTTAAATGCAGTTAGCTAGATTGGGAAACGTGGAAGGAGGGATTCATAAAAATAGTTCTTTATCTGAGAATCTTGTTGCTTTATAATTCTTTCCATTATTAATTATTGAGTTTCTGGGAGATTTATTGAAACGTTTGGTAAAGATATTATCTCTCTCTTTGCCCGTTTCAAACATTTTTAGATGGTTCTTGCTGGCCCTGTAGAGGCTGAAATCAGGCACCTCAAGACTCATCCAAATTTCGTTGGGCCTGGAACTCCAGTTCAGCATGTCATGCCATTAGGCCTGGTGAAGTTCCTTCACAACATGAGCTAGACTGGACATTTACTTACTGCACCAAGTTCATTGTTCTCAACAAAAATACACTGTCCTGGGACCGTCTCAACACTCTAGATGATCCAATTGGATGTTTGTTTCTTGAATTATCTGTCTTGGCAAACAACATCAATATCATGGTCTTGGCCATCTAGCCATTTTATCATCTTGGATGGTCATTTTCTATATAGGAAGATGTGTTTTTTTCTTTTCTTTTGGTCCAATTGAATGGTTGTTTCTTGAATTATCTGTCATGGAAAACAGCATCAATATCATAGTCTTGACCATCTAGCTGTTTTATCATTCTGGATGGTCACTTTTAATATAGGAAGATGCATTTTTCCTTTTCTTTTTTTCTTTTGTTTCTTTGACAATGTAAGAGTATGTGATTTTTGGATCAGCTGGCTGGTATGGTATTCTGCCATTGGCTATTCCAAGAGATTGACCGACCCATTGATTGGAGGGTGTGGATCAATTCAATAGCCCCAGGCTGAATGGCAGAGGGTTTCTACTGTTAGCAGTATTACAAATTACTATTTCTTTTAGGTAAGTATGTTCTGCAAACTAATACTGGCAAGATGCCTTCATAAAAACTTGTGATGCCGCTTGGTTTTTCTTCATTTCCATCATATTGCTTTTAGTCCAAGAAATTTAACCTCTAACTTAAGGTCTGTTATGGATAAATGGACTATCAGGAAGCGCAACTTTAAATAATGGATTTTGAATCTTATCACCAAAGTTTCAATTTTCCGAAGTTTCTGTATTGCAATGCTATGCTTTAATCATGAAATACTGAAAATTATAATAAGTTGTCAGAATCCAAGTATCCAGGGGAAAAAGGCCAACTCATATTAGCATTCAAGGCATTTGCAGGTGATGATGTCAGAGAAGGACCAGCCCACCATGAAAAGTCTTGTGTAGTCCATGAAGATATTGCATATAAAAACTTTAGTATTGTATGACAATGAACATCAGAAGACAACTATTGCATATATAAACTTTAGTATTGTATAACATATGAAAATATTGGCATGTTCCTACTTCCTTTCATTTGTGTATGCATACACATATTGGATCCATTGTTGGGAGATGTTTATGCATACCCAAAATCCTGTCCCAATTATTTTGGAACTTCAGCTTTTCTTCACTTTAGCAAATTTGTCCTAAGGACCCTCTGCTGTATATCAAAACGGATATGCATTGATAAAAGAAAATCTCTCTCTCTCTCTCTCTCTCTCTCTGCATATGTATTTATTTATGCCTTACTTTTTTTGGCAGGACATGTGAAATTTGTGGTTCAATTGCGCGCAATGTTGTTGGTGTGAATGATACTGAGTTCATGGAGCAGTGGAATGAGACAAATAATGCTGCAGCACCAGCACCTGCTCCACCTGCTGAGAGTCGAAGCTTTTGGCATGGCCATCGCTTCCTTAATTTTCTGCTTGCCTGCATGGTCTTTGCCTTTGTGATATCTTGGCTCTTTCACTTCAACGTACCTTCGTGAAAACACCATAAAATAGATCCTGATCTCTCTGTTGCTGTGATGGATGAGGAGCATCAGGCAAGTCCTAAACCTTGGTATATTAGAGGGTATCTCACCTCTACCTTTGGCCCTCCATTCTCACCCGCATTATATCCATATTTGCATGTTATATCCTCTGGTTTGACCAGAGCTCAGGGGGGCATCCTATATCATCTTATATACGTGTTGTTTTTTTTTTTTTTCCTTTTAACAGGACCTACAATATCATATATGTAATGTTATTGCTTCCATTACATGGTTGCCCTTTCTTCCTTTTCTTGATAACAATCTTTCTGTTTTCGGACAGTGCTAAAAAATGTGCTCTGGACAGACTTAGTTTCATGAAGGCCCTGTTCTCCTATGATAAGGTGATGAATCAATACAAGATAATAGATATCCAAATTCTAGCACTACACTTAGAACTACTTAGTGTAGTACAGTTGTTAAGGTTCAAGGGCATTATCATTTAGTGGGATAGGTTGTGTATATGCTTGGTTAGCTTTGCCTTGATTTTGAGCCACTTTTCTGCTCGTCGTCCTGCCTCTTTGAGGTGTTTCTTCCACAGACCCATTTGGTGCTTCTCAATAGTCAGTTCAAGGTGTTATTTGAATGAGGAAAAGTGAAAACTGAATAAATTACAGAGATCATGTAGAGCTCACGTACCTTCCAACTCTTACATGATCAAAGATTGGACCACGAACGGCTGGGATTTGATTTCAAGTTGGATATGGGAAGCTTCAGATTGGATCCTATAATATCTGGGTTAGACTTGAATCTTATCCATCCGGTCTAGATTGGACTAATCTTTGGTTAGAGTATTGTAATTTCATTAATAGATTGGATTAAAAAAAATATGAAAATGTTATATTGTCTTTACTATATAAAGCCGATGCTTGCCCTGGCTTATCTTTACTATTAGAATTAGGAGCTGAACAGAAAAAAAGAATGATTCGTATAGCTGACCCCATGGCCCAAGAATCCTTCTTGCATAGTTTTTGTTCCACAATACATTCCTTGAATGTAGACAAGAATTTATATGTGCTCATATCGGTGATTTTTCCTTGTTTATTCCCTCCTTGACATGGCAGTTGCTTTTGTTTTATTAAAACAAAATCATCTATATTGCCAAATATACCCCTACTAATTACATTTCCCTATGCATAGAAAGGACCAAATTGAGATTAATGCGTTTTTGGCCAAGATACCTGTAGACATGTGAATTTTCTTAAGGAAATGGAGCTAATTTGCATGGCGGCTTCAAATTAATATGGGCCTCCATGGCCCAAGAACTAAGTCCTAGTGGACATGATCCATGGTCTAATAATCTAAATGTACCGAGTCTAATTAGGTCGAGACCTTGTTGTAATAGAGTAGACCCATTAGCAAGACCATTTAACTCCTACATACTAGAGAGCATATAAAGGAGTTAACTTCAACCAACATCCCACTTAAATGGGATTGGTTAATAAGTAGACTGAGGTGGTAGCCTTAATCATATGCTATACCAAATTGTGCCTTAGGAAGAAAATGCTCTCTCCTTCAGTCTCGCAAAAATACACTTGAGAATTGCAAGCCATAACACCTATGAACTCACTTTAATTCCACTTCAATCTCAAGAGAGAAAAAGAAAGAAGAATAATTTCTTGTCTCTCTACTTCACATTTAGGTTCAAGTTCTCAAAAATGATCAAGCCATTATGGAGGTCCTTCCTAGGGAAGCATTCTTCACAACTAATCAAACAAGAAGTCCAGAATGAGGAAATCTACACTAACATTCCAAGAAGTATTAAGAAACAGGTCATTGACCATTGTTTTCACCATGTTTGACCATTAATGGTTTCTCATGTGATTACACAATCAAAAAGAGTCAAATTCCTTGTATTTTTTCTTAGTACACAATATTTGTATCTTTTAGTACTAAAGGGAAATAAATCAATTTTTTCATTTCCTAGGAAGTGCATATCTTATATGGGGATATCAGATATGGCATATTGGCACTTCCTAGGAAGTGTATATCAGTTTTTTTCATTGTTTGTTTTGTTAAAAAATATATATATAAAAATTGATAAGATATATGGCACATTGGCTTCTTGATACCACTAGGAACATGGGAAATTTTCTAACAAATCCAAAGACAATGAAAAATTGGATCTATTTCCAACAGATCACACGCACCAAGAAAAAGTTCCCTGTTTTAAATATATAAAATAGAAATAGGGACAAATTTAACCATGCTTTTCTCTCATGGATAATATGCAATTTGTAGTTGTCAATCATATACTTTAGTGTTTTCGGTTAGATGGTAGTTTCAAATAAACAGGATCAATAGCTTTTGGTTTGATAAAAAATAAAAGAGAAACAGAAAGTTTTGGGAAATTTCATTAGTAAATTTGCAAATTTCCTTGACAACTTTCCATCAAATGTTTATGTTTCCCTCTTATTTTCTGTCAAACCAAACACACTTTGGGGTTCAACATCTCCACATCAGGCAGAAGTTTTAGGTTGGAAGGAAGGAATCTTGTTAATAAAGAAACTAAGGCTGAACATGACCGCTTTGGACAGTGATTGCAGGCAGTAGGTTTCCGGGTCTGTATGTTACAAGTGAAGCTTGGTCAAAAGAAAGCTGGTTCGTGACCAAGGACATTCTTCACCTAGTATGACTAATTTGGGTTTAAAAGCTCAGTTTTGTAAAGCGCCTAGGGGATATGGCTGCCCATATAGCCACCCAAAGAGGTTTCCTGGAATCCTGAGAAGTTCTGAGTTCTTCTCCGAGCTGGTTGCTAAACAAACTTCAAGACAATTTGAAAAAAGGAACCATTAAATTAATCTCCATTTTGAACCATTGAATTAATAATGTTGGCAGTTTTGATGTCTTCCATTTTTTTTTCCTGATACTTCAATTAACTAGTAATTAAGCACGTGCATTGCATGTGAGAAATTTTTTTCATATTAATTACTTGAATTTTAGATATATCATAATTAAGATAAGAAATGAAAACTAACAAAAGTAAAAATATGATTAAAAATAAACTCAAATGCTTGTAGTAAATGTGCATGTGCATTACATATGGAAATTTTAAATTACAATAACAATTATTATTACTATTCTTATTATTATTATTAATTTTTTATTCTCAAATGCAACAGAATTTTGTACTTTTTCATTGTTTATGTTCTATCTTTTTTTAAATATTTATTATTCAATTATGACATCATGAATTTCTTTGAGAAGTTGGATCATTAACCCACCATCTAGATAAGAAAATAGCTTTACTTTCGGATTTTTTTAAGTTATATATCATATAAATAATTTTTACTTATCATACTTAATTTTTGTTTGACACAATTAATATATAATTTTTAATATATTCTTTTGATTACTTGTACTTTTTTATTTTTTAAAGATTTATTATTTAACTATCATATCATCAGTTAATGTATAATATTAGATATGTACCCAATATATAATATTAGATATGTGCCCAATTTTTTTATTTTTATTTTTGTTATTATTTATATTTTTTTATTTTTAAAAATTTTATTATTTGCCATGACATCATTTCATTTATAGGTTGATTTTAACTTTGGCATTCTATTTTCATCATTAATAAAATTACTTCTTACATTTCATACATATTTTTGTTTAGTATAATGAATATTCAATATTAGATATACCCAATTCTTTTTATTTTTTTGTATTATATGTTTTATATATTTAAATTTTTTATTATTTAATTATGACATTATTTATCAACCCATTTGACCCAAAATGGTTGAATTGTTTATCCATCATTGGGAGGGAAGAAAATTGTTTTGTTTGCAAATTATTTTTCATAATATTAATTTTTTTTTTGTGGATTTAATAAAAGATTATACCTTAATATGAGATTTAATGAGAGAGAATAGGAAAATAGTTTTATTTCTAATCGGTTTTAAATTTGACATTCCATTTCCATCATTAATAAAATCATTTCTTATTTATCATACTTATTATTGTTTAATATGTCGAATATATGATGTTAAAAATGTTTTCAATTTTTTTAATTTCTATATTTTTTCATTTTATCTATTTTTTTTTATTTTTTTATTTAATTGTGACAATATGGATTGGCTCATTTGACCCAAAATGGTTTAATTTCTTACCATTGCCTAGATGAAAACACTATTTTTTTAGGTAGATTTTAAAAGTATGTTTTTATGTTACTGGAATTATTAATTTATTATGTATGAATTTAATTAGTAGAATTTAATGATGATAAGAAATAAAAATACCTTAAATATATGATTCAATGAAGGTGAATGCAAATTAATACCTTAAGTGTTGGATTTAATGAGAAGAAATTGAATGCATTGAATATCTTATAATTGTATCTTTTCAACTTATTTATATTAATAATTGATTACCCTTTTGTCTTCATTTTTTTTCAATAAATTTAAATATGGAAGGGTAAATTTTGTCATAAAAAAATTTCAGAAATATTAATGAGGCTATTCATACTTTTTAATTTAAAATAGCAAGTATAGATGTGACAATGCACATATAATGGCAGATTTGTCACAGCAACAAGAAAAGTATCGAGTAACTCCAAATCTCCAATGGCTCAAATCCTAATTTTACAGGGTATTATTTATCTTCTATGCGGTTAGAAACATGAGAAGAGAAGGCACTTTATTGATTATACCATATGAAATTACTAAAACTTCTCTGGTCCTACTTGGGTTTGGACCTGTCATTAGAAACCATCTCGACTGTTGTGAAGCCTTTTGTTTTGGGCCTGCTCCAGTTCTGTCGCCTTTGCAAGATGAAGCCTTCGTTTGCCTCCAAGGCATTAATCTAGCAAAAAAGTTTTGAAGGGGCCCTTTTGTAGTTGAATGTGATAATAAGTTCCTGATGCAAGTTCTAGCCTCAAAGAACCCGTTTGGAGATCATAATGCTTTCTTTTTTTGTAAAGATAAACTCCAGTAAAGACATGGACCTTTCTTTTTCTTTCTCTGTTAGAGAAAACAATGTACTAGCACATAATCTAGCAAAAAAAGGCCTATCGAATTCAAGTGTTTATACTGAAGTGATGACTTTATGGTTAGCTAGCTGGGTGGAGTTCCCCCCTGCTTTGTAATTTCTGATCTTTGTATATTGTCTTTTTACCAAAAAAAAAAAAAAGAAAAACAAACACCTGTCAAACTCTATTATTATTATTATAGTGTTATTAAGCTTTGGAGTTTGAAATTTGACTGCTAAAACAATCAAAATTGTATCCATTTACTTGGGTTTTGATTTTTTCGGCCGTAGGATCATGGAATGGAAGATTGTGGAAGAAGAAAAAAAATTCTGGGTGAGGATAGAACCACAACTTGGATAGGTTTGGTTTAGTTAATGCACAGATTGACAGAAATATTGTACATTTGGACTGCAAAGTAGGATCGTGTAATGGAAAACTGTAAAAAAGTTGAACTTGGGGAAACTTTCAGAAATAATCAATCTTCAATCTGCTGGCATGTCACCATCAAATCCTGAAGTGCATCTTCGAATTCCTCTTTTGCTGAATCACCTGCAAAACCCCAAACAAACATCAACAACAAAAGCTAATCTAAATTAACCCTCATTGCTAATTCAGTATAAAACTCTTGACTGCAGGTCTAGCCTGATTCAAAAGTCAGAGTTGATGAGAAAGGAATTCTCTCCCTCCCTAATAAAAAGTGCTCTTATTGTTTAGGAGAGAAGTAAGAAGTTATCCCTAAAGCTGTGTTTGGTTTGAAAGAAAAAGTAGAAAAAGGAAGGAAAAGTCGAAAAACCTGTACAGGGTTTGTAAAGGTTTTCCTAGCATTCCCTTATTTTCCTTACCTTTCTTTTTTTTTCAAACCAAAGTACTAAACACAACCTAAATGAAAATGGAAATGGAAAATGCTATTCAAATCCTGTTTGCCATGAAATGACGAAATATCTATCACAAGGGAAATAGATTTGTGCATGTTATGTCAATTTCATTCCGAAACCAACCCCATCAACATAACTGAGAAGCTTCAGTTGACGATTGTGTGCTGGGTTACTCCTTACTCCAACCCATACCCAGCAGAGACCTTACCAACCTAAGTACGCAATTTTTATGTTTGATGGCTTGATTTCTACGTTCTAGGGATGGATAGAATTCATTGGATGTCTACATTCTACGTTCTGGGGATTTACCCGAAGAGCAAAACTGTTGCATTGGAACGTCAACGAATAAAGTGATTATTCAACCAATCAATCCCTGGAAACAGGATATCCAGATACTTGTTTGAGACTTTGAGATTGGAACTCGACGCTCTGGTGGCAATATGGCATATTCGGATATTTCGACGATTTAACAGTTGATTCATTTTAGGAAAGCCCATAAATTTAAGGCCACATCATCGTCACCCCACCCCCAAGGCCCCAAGGCCCCAACCATATATGCGGCACTTCTGCCAAGGAAAAAGCCAGACTTTTCTACGAATACCAATTGCGAGCAGTTAAACTTAAAAATGGCACAAGTTAGCGAGCACATGCATTGATTAAGTGGCAATACCAAACAACTACTTAGGATTCAAAGTTGGAATGCACAAAGCAATCAAATTCAACTGGCTGGGGCTCATCCGATTCACCTGACCCAAGTCCCAACAAAGTGCCACTCCATCGTGTAGAAGAAAGACAGCATATGAATAAGATGTTTTCAGCTTAAATGTTTTTTTTTTGGCAGCAAAACAGAATGAACATGGAAAAGCACAATATCTGTGTAGGAGGCAGCACAAAAGTATGATATTTTTTGGTACTTCTAAAAGTGAGATGAGACCAAAGCGTCCAACCCCCCTTCTCGCGGAAGGGCACACTAGAGAATAGCTTAAAAAGTGAGAACGTAGGATGGACATAAGCACCAACAAAAGATTTTCAGAAGAATCCTCGTGTATCAAAAACTCAGAATTAAAAAAGATTTAAAAAATGGAAGAAGATAAATACAAGAGAGTGAAGAACAAAAAAGACCAAAAGCTAAGCAGAGAAGAAATGGACCAGAAAAAAAAAAAAAAAAAAGAAAAGGAAAACCTATACACTTTTAGTTTCTGCTGTTCCTTTTCGCCTCCAAAGCTGTGCCATCCTTGAGAGTCTCTTGAGCATCAGTATCCATACCAAGGCTGAAGAGGGCAGCCGCTTGAAGATAAAAGGCGGTTGGCCACTCAGGAGATACCACCTGGGCTTGCATGGCATCTCCAAGAGCTTCTTGTGGCATGTCACTCATTAGGTATGATAAGCAGCGTCTAGCAAACACGGTTGGTGATACCATAGTCCCACCATCAATGAACTGCATGATAGAGGATCAAGTAAGCACTTATAACACTAATGATGAATAATAATAATTAGAAAATCATCTAAGAATTAGTAACTCGGCAAACTGTTTTGGTAAGAACCAGATCCAGTGTCTCAACTTAATTGTGTAAGTTGAACAATGGCTATCAGAGGATGGTTATTAGAAGGAATGGAAAGAAGGATATACCAAGTGAGCCAAAAAATTGGGATGCCTAAGTAAAGAAGCTTATCTTTGGCACCCAAAGTGTAGCCCTAATCTATCAGGTTCCTAGATTGACTAAGTTCTATAATTCATACTTCATAATCTTGAAAGTGAGTGTTAGAAACAAGGTATTCTTCGGACAGTTTATATAGGGGACCAGATGAGCCATTGGGCAGCCCTGTATCCCTTTTATTTTATTTTACAAGCATCTCTCTTATAACCCCCCTCCCCCCCCCCCAAAGCTTTAAAACCCTGGAACCATTATTGTATCAGTGTATTCCGTGCATTTTGGGCTCTACAGATATGGGGCATATCATATTGATATTTTGATCCTTGATATGAAGCATTCATGGTTAAACATTACGTTGAACATATTCATAGAAAAGTTTTCTGATGCAAACTAGTGGAGCTAATCATGCTCAAGAACCAACTTGATATCCTTGCCATATAGTGAGATTAGTTCTAAGAGTTTAAAGGATTTTTTGTTGTTCTAGACCCTAAGAAGCATATTTTTAAGCACATTTATTATATATATGCTTTGTTTATGAATCAATGACCACACAAAATGTTACTACTTCCATGTCCAGACGTGTCATATATACCAATTTGATGTAGACATACTTTCACAATATGCTAGCTAAACAGAATGTCTGCTTATAAAAATAGAAATGTGGGAAATTCCCAAGCAAAGGGTCTTACCTGTGTATAACAATCAATGGCAGTTGCAAAGTCTTTTGCACGAAAAGCAGCATCACCCTGTTTTTTAGAATTTAAAGTTTCTTGCATTTGATTGGTCCACATTTGAAAAGAAAGCTGCAAGGGTCGCGATACAACATTTTTAAATAAAACAAGGAAACTCATGGTATATCAAAAGTAATTTCAGTTTAAATAATTGAAGAAATAAACTGATAATGTTGCAAAAGACCAAACAAAATGAAGGATAAAAGTTTCATAAGGCAGGGCTCTATTAAATTTCTATTAAAATTTTCATGTTTTTGGCAAGAATGCTCCCAGTAAAGCACTAATCGGTATCCAGATAGGTTTAACTTTTCAGCTTTAACATATTTGATATTTGGTAATCCATGGAACCTGATTAATGAACCATAAATAGTTTTCACCTATGATACCCTGATAACTGTACATGGTACTGTATCATGTTGGATACTTCAATTTTTAGTGTAAAATTTCATCCAATAATATATCCAGCCATGTCCTTGCTGTATCCAGGTAACATAGTTGTTGGCATATTATAATGCCAAATCTAATTAAGAAGCAGTTTGAGTTTGGATTCTTCCATAAAAAAAAAAAAAAATACTTTCGAAAGATTTAACTGACAACAAGCATTTTGATGCATATATGCATTCAGAAATAAAAATTAAGCAACCGACTATTTAGACCGCCATCATAAATTCTTCCAACACCATAGTTAAAGCTAAAATGCATTCCAGATGACCCAATTAGAAATTAAATAGAAAACAACCATCAAAGTTAAGTGCAGCTCAATATTCCATGTCATTCTATGGTGGAGAGGAGGATTTTATTACAGAGCATTCACACAATTCACCAAGTCTCAAATCTAAAACGCTATTTCATGAAAGATGTGTCCACATTTTCCTTTGTGTAACATTCTGAATGTGTGCATGTTTTCTTCTGCTCTGATTGCTTAAGTGAATGAAAAGAAAAAGGACTAGCACAATAACAGCTGTTGGAGTTGATATATATGTCAGAAGGCAACAGTTGTACTTGGCAGGACTATTTCGCCAACTTAAAAAAAGAAAAGCAACATAATAGAAGATAAAACTGGAATTAACATTAGCATGATCAAATCAAAATTAATTGGTAGTTACTTGCCTATCTGAAACAGAAAAGTAGACTTTAGTATCAATGATCACTAACCTCATTGGCAACCCCTTCATCATCTTTATATCCAATTTTCTCTAATATTTCATGTATGGCAGTGAGGTCCATTCTGGAGCATGCTTCACCTAAAGGTGTCAACAACAACTGCACTGGGGATGCTGTTCCATGTGGAATACCCATCAAGGTATATGAAGGCACCTGCTAAATACCAATACATGAGAATATATGTATTTCTATCAGGCCAAATAAAATCTTTGGTAAGGTTAATGTTTGGCCACAGGGAGGTACCAAAGTATAAGCTGAAAGGTTACTAAAAGGCTCTCTCTGAAAATACCCGATCATTCAGATCCTATTTAAACAGGATTAAGCAGATATTACATATAATACCCAAAAAAGGTAACAACCAACTACAAATTTAATAACAATTATATAGACTAAATGGAGGTAAATAAGGGATGATATATATTGAAGAAAAGATCCAATGAAGTGGCGTACACCATGGTCACAATTCCAATACTACATTTAAACTAGGTGTAAATGGAGGAATTCCCCCCCCCCTCCGATTCACAACTTCCTGGATTTTATGAAAAAAAAAAAAAAAAGCAACACAGATCCAGAAGGTATTGGGCCATAGATGCTATCTCAACCATTTAAGTGGATCATCATTTTCCCTGCATGGGAATGTGGAGCATGTACCAAACAGTTCACTTCATGCAGTAATATTGTTTACCTCTGTTTCTTTCTGAAGTGAAGTCAGAGCAGTCACAAGGGTCTTTGCATTTGGCCTTTCACGAGGTTCATACTGTAAACAACGAGAAGCTAAGCGCACTAATTCAGTTCCATCATCATTAGAGAAGTGGCCCTCCAAACAAGAATCTATCAACATCAGAAAATTCTTTCCACGTATTAAGTCTAGTGCCTGCAAAAAGAGATATAAACATATATGATAAGCTCCATCCTGAAAATTTTGGAATATTTAAGAAAAAAACAGTAAGAATCCATCACTGACATTTAATATAAAGAACAAAGCACATCCTATTCTTGCACATGTAAGCACCTCCAATTTTAGTATGATGATTTGGACCAAACTTCAGATACAAAAATGTGTGGTAATACATGAACACAAAAATGGACAGTATGCATGTCCCCACACAGGAAGGTGGGCAACCAAATTGAAGAAGGAACACCAAATCTTTTCTGAATTAACAAGGCATGGAAACACTTAGATTTACCCTCAGGCTCCATTTGGGAAGAGTGCAAATGCTGGTTCAGTGCATATATGCACTCTGGTTCAGTTTTGCTGGTATTTGGTAAGAATGCATCTGTGTATTGAAAATGACAGCCAAAACAGATTCCAAGACATGTTTGCATTCAAAATGAGAGACTCAAAGTTGGTCAATGTTAAAAAAAGTGGATTCCAGTCTTGGGATTCATGTTTGTACCAATCACAACTAAAATCATTTTGCAAGAGTACAAAATTATCATAACAAAACTAAACCAACTTTGCATTTTTATAAACCAGACATATTTGCATTTGCTCTGAACATTTTTGTATTTGCACTCTTCCCAAATGGAGCCTTAGGCTGTGTTTGGTTGCAATGCAAATAAATTTGCACTGATGCAAAACCATGGCAGTGCAAATTATTTGAGTGTAAATTCTGATATATTTTTGTTTCAAAGTTTAGCTTATTTTGTTTGACTGTAGTACAAATGAAGTAAATTAAGATACAAAGAAGAATAAAGTAAAACTCAAAAAAAAATTAAACAAGAATTTGCATTTTTTTTCCATTTGCACTCCCATGCATTTGTACTAGTGTAAATAAAATTGCACTGCAACCAAATGCAACCTTAAGGACATTTTATGTTCCCTGCCCACAAGTAATCAAGTATATGGCAGTTGACATTGCTAATAATTTAAACAAACAACAGGATTACAAGCTTTATAGTTTATAGACAACTCAAGAGTTCCCAAAGATGTCTACAGGTCAATTTACTACATATTACAACCAAGCTTAAGAGGAGGAAAGGAAAACGTACATGGCTAGGGGGGATGTGTTTCCCACTGAGGAGATCAAGCAAAAGAGTACCAAAACTGTAAACTACACTTTCTGGTATCACTCTACCTGCCAAATAAATAATACAAAAACAAGTAGACCAGTTTATATTCAACCAAATGACAAATAATAAGAAGGCAGTAACAGTTGCACATAATAAAATATGATAAATAGTTCCATAGAATTAAATTCAATTATAAGCAAACAATTACATATAAAAAATCATTGAGAAATGTACATGTAAATTTCTAATAACTGATCCTGTAGCAGTTTTTTTAACTGCATTATGGCCATTCAATCCACCTATAAAAACACACAGAGAAGGATAATTGAACATATACATTTCTTAGAAGAAACAAAGTAGTCAAAACAACATCTATGGGATAATTGAGAAATAAAATCAGCAACCTTACTAAACCAGGCAGGCATCATTTATGTCACAAGGAGAAAAACGATGAATCTTTTGGTCATTTGGAGGAAAATCCATAGAATAATTAAATTTTGTATATTAGATTATAGTATAGAAAAAAATGGCAAACTTATTAACCACCTATAAAGCTACAATTTCCACTATACTAAATTGTTTTTACACAACTGCAGGAAAAATAGCTTAGGAAGTATGACCAATTAAACCAATCATCAGATATTTCTTGATTCCATTGTGTACACAACTAAACCCCTTGTCTATTGGAGGTGACTTTTCCTTTAGCTTAGGAAGTATTTACCTGTCCTCAAGTATTCTGGGGGGGTAAAAGCCAAATTTGTACTGTAGCTCTTGCCGTCTCTGCTATTCTTCATGAGGCCAAAGCACGAGAGCCTGGGATTACCATCCTGTCAAGTGCTGACTCACAATAAGGACTAGAGAATGAAAGGCAGATGGTCTTCCAATAGATAAGAGCAATGTAAAGAAATAATTTACCTTATCAAACAACACCCGATAAGCGTTAAGGTCATGATATAATGCCCGGCCTTTGCTGCTGCAATATTCCAAGGCTTGTGCCAAATACAAGGCAACTCTCAACCTCATGGCCCATTTCATTGGCTGGGCCTCCCCTACCCATTTCAATTTTCAACCCATAAGAACCATTGAAGTGTCTAAATTAGCAACATAAACTTGGCAAGCATCAGCTGAGGATTTAGCAAGATTTTTTTCTTTCCTTTTTTTTTACTTGGGGAGTGGGTGGTCAGCTGAGATATCTCTTACCAACTAAGCATACTATAGTTCTACTAGCTCATATGGAAAGAAGAAGCTCAAGCAGTTCAGTTTTGTTCTTTGACCAGTTAAAGCCCTCAATTATAACTATAAAGTTTCATTGGAACTAAAGACATTTCTGGTCAAAAGTTCGGCATTTTAGTTCATTCAGTCTAACCGAAAGAACTTTATAAGCAAAACGACTGATAATTGTCAATGCTATATATATTTTTTCATTAACCAGAGCAAGAATTCAAATTATAACAATGTAAAGTACGGATGTAAACTACATTGTCTCGCTCAGACCGACTAAGCTCGAGGTATCTGTTATGAAGAGTAAGAAAAGCTTACAATGGAAGAGATGCTTAGAAAGGGTTTCATTCGGCATGAACTCGGCAACGAGTAACCTCTCATCTCCTTCATAGCAACATCCAATCAAGTTCGCCAACCGGTCATTCCGAAGCTGACCTACCGCTCTGGCTTCCTCCTGCAACAAAATGAAACCAAATAAGAATCAGAAAAAAAAAAAAAACAAAAAAAAAAGCCAAAAGAATAAACGAAAAAAAGAAAGTCGGAAAAAGAAGTATACTAATCAATCAAATACAGATAGAAAGGAAAGCTAAAGGGAATGTAAAGGAGAGAACGAACGATGAATTGGCGAGCATCAGGCCACGCGGACTTGTTGAAACGCTTGACGGCGATCCAACGATCGTTCTCGAGCCTTCCTTTATAAACAACATTAGGAGCTTTCTCTCCATGCTCGGAGACGATGTTATCGACGGAGAAACCAGCGGTGGCAGCCCTGAGTTGCTCCAAGCTGTACTCACTGAAACCAGGCAAGGAGTCGCGGTCGTTTTTGCCCCCGTTCTCTGCAAATAATTACACCGTTAGACAAAAGGAAAAAACAAAGAAGCCGGTCTCATCAGAATTTTCAGTGTCTAAAAAGAGAGAATGAGTGAAGATCTGGAGCGTCGAATGAAGTGAAGGCCTTTACCGAGATCGGAGGATTCGAATGAGGTGGATTTGAGATTAGAGTGCCACCAGCAGAGGGATAATTTGGAGCAACGGGCTCCCATCGCCGGAGATCTGACAGTTATGACAGGAAAACAAGATCGGAGATCAGACGGCCTGTATTTCTCTGAAACCACTAGGTGGGAGGGTTTTCATTTGTGTGTGTGTGAGAGAGAGAGAGAGAGGCGAGGGAACGTTTTGGGGGAATACCGAAAAAGAGGAGGGGAAAAGGAATGACAGCGAGAGAGCGTTTTGTATAGTGAAGGGGAGAGAGATAGAGAGAGGGAGAAAGCAGATTTGTGGATCCAAGGTTTTACTTTCTCTCTCTACTCTCCATCTCTCTCTCTCTCTTCCTCTGTAATATTTAAAAATTATAGAAGAATATTTAATTAAGCAATCTTTTCCCTGTCCATCTATCTGTTTGTATGTCTTTCTCTCTCTACGTATGAACTGCAAATTGCCTTTTTCTCCTTTTTTCCGTTCCAGTATCGTGCTTTGCTTTTATCTTTCTTTTTCCCCACCTCATCATTCCTCTCCTCTCGCTCTCTCTCTATCTGTCTTCTGTGTGTTTTTTATTTGGTTTTATTTATTTTAAAGAGCGATGTGATTCTGGATTTGGAATCCCCTGTCTCTGTTTCCGTTGGAGTGAACGGTTAACAGGTCGGCGGCAGCGTTACGACTTACGATTAGTGGTGAAGTCATTTTCTTTCGGTGCAGTGGGAGTGCAATGGAAATGGAGTAGACAAAAAATTATCAGAAAGGGTAAAAGTTGCACTCAAGTTTGGAAGATGGAGCCCCGGCGGCCCGGCCCCGTTTTTTTTCATTCTCGTTTATTTATGGGTAATGACTAATGGGTTTTTTTTTTTTTTTGAAAGATATTTATGGATAATGGGTTGAAGAAGGCAGCCTTCTTGAGTTTGAGGATGAGGATAAGCCGAGAAGGTGATACCAGCAGATTACAGAACTTAAAATATAAAAGCCAACATTAATAATTAATGTTAACTCCCGTCATTTTCAACTTGCATCCCACATTAACACCGATTATAATTTATAAATTATAATTAGGTTAGGGAAAATACTATTTTGTTCAAGAATGTTGACCGTAGGTTTGACCAATGAAAGCTAAAGCCTAAAGGTGTGTTATGCTACTGCCTACTGCTAGTGCTAGGCTTTCTCTTTTGAACGTGTGCCGATGCGATGCCGTGCCGTGTGGCCTCTTGAGTTTTTTTTTCCTGGGCTTGGGCTTAATCAGCTAATGTCCAACTCCAATGGGCCAGCGATGAATCATCAACTAGTGGATGGGAAATAGGATTAATTAAGAAGTTGGAATTAGTGGGGAAAATTGGGATTAATGTGAGAGGAGGCGTCAAACTTGGTAAGAAGGTGGAGGCAGAAGCGCCAAAATCATATCATAATTTGTGGGGCAGCATAGAGCAGGCCCGGCCTAACAATGTAGTGGGGTGGGGCCCAACAGGCCCAACACACAGACATAGACTGACTGGTCACTTGGGAGTGTTGTGAAGGAAGGAGAGGTGAGTGGCTAGTTGCCTTTGCCTTGGGCTGCTTAGCAATTTGGGTGTCGTTTGAGTTTTGCCTGCGGGCCATAATACCCACAACTTGGACTATGCCTTGTTACACGCTGGATCAAGGGCTCAAGGCTAGTTATGGCTGCAATTAAATGTAATTAAGGATCTTATAGTCCGATATTTGTGTGTGTGTGTGTGAAGGGAGCGTTTGCACCGAAATTTGACAAGTTGATGATATGATTTTTGTTGAGAGGTCCATGACCACGAGATCGTCCAAGCATGGAAAAAAGCGTATAAGCTGGTTGGTTTTGTCTACACTCATGATCCAGATGTGTGTGCATGATTTTGTTGTTTCTTTTGGATTTCTCTACTCCATTATTCTCTATGTTGACAATGATGCCTGGAGTATTAATCTTTTGTTTCTTACTTTTTCTCTTTTCTTTCCAACTTCCTCTTATATATTTGGTAGTAATGAACATTGTATTTTAAGAATTAAAAAGAAAAATCCCCTGTGTAAAAGAGGGTAGAAGTTTATATAGTTGGGGCATGACCCTGGTGAAATTCAAATAATGCCCAAAAAACATCAGACAAGGATGCTTCCTATTGCTCCATAAACATTTCAGCTGTGTTTTGGTTTGACAGAAAATAGAGAAATGGAAAGAGGGGAAATTCCCAATGAATTTCACAAAATTAGTTAAGAACTTTCTTTTAAACAGAACATAGTGTTTGGTATTGAAAAAATAGTCTCTCTCTCTCATCCTTTGAGTCTTTGAGGGCGTGTGGAACTAGTACAAGCAAGTTCTAGTTCACACGCTATAACCAAGAAAAAAAGTTGTAGTACACAGGATGGTGGAACCCATTTAAGGATACTGGGAAATCTAGCAAAGAGATCCAATGTCTCTGGGAATGGGCCACTTAGATGCTCAACCAGACCTCAGCCTGGGTTTAGCTCCTGTTACATAATCATAATGTGCATGGTGGGATTTTGGATGAGCTTTGGACGTCGTTTTTGTTTCAATAAGAGTGATTTATTTATATTAATTCACCATTAAATGGACCCACATTGAATTACATGATATATAAACTTTCTCTAAATACATTGTCTTGAAAAAAGTATATTGGGCAAGTCCAATATTTGGGGCCCATCTTAGGGACACAAGTGGCAAATACCCTTCTAGTCACAGTGGATCAAGGCCCACCACAGATATATCCGAGCTGGAGTTGATGTCAAGAATCAGAATGAATTGGGTGAACTTTTTATCTAAGCAAAGTTGGGGTCATCGCAATTCACAAGTCAGTGTGATCTACATCCATCGACTCACTTTACCAGCTGGCACCTTCATCATTAGATAACTTTTAACAATCTGGGTCATTGTAATTATTTTTGTTTTTACGTAGTTTTAAAATTACCACATCAACAATAAAACAAAAGCACATTCTTAACTTTGAGATCATTTGGCAAGTATTTTTTGAAAGATCTGACAGTTTAAAGACGATGTGAGCTTTTACATCAAGATCTTAACAGACTGTTTGATTGAGATGCATATGTCCGTGTGTCTTTCTGCGTGAAGATGAATTAAAAGAAAAGTGAAAAAATCCAGAAAATAGCCCAAAATGAGCTTCTCGCATCTTTTTTGGGCTACGGCTTTCGATGACTACATTTTTTTTCCAACCAAACAAAAAAAGACCAAAATACGGATTTTGACAGCTCACGCAAAAAAAAAATACCAAATAAGGCCTTTGTTTTTGTCTTGAGAAGTGAAAATAAGATAGTTTTTTTTTCTAAACATATATCATGCTTTTTGAAACCAACAAATTATGTTTTTTAAGGGTATTCCACAATTTGAATGGCTTTATTTTGTAAAACAAAAAACGCCCGCCATTGTAGCAAAAACATTATATTTTTGCTGATGTAACAGTAATTTTTGCTTTCGAAAATAAAAGCATTCGCATTATTAAATACCTTCTAAAATAATAAACAATTTTTATTCTTGGAGCATTTGAAAATGAAAACACATACACAACCCGAGAACTTACCTCTTTCTGCATTTTGTTTTAAGAATCAATCTATTTTCAAACAAATGGTTTTGATTTATTTTTCAGAACTGACAACAACGAAAACAATTCAAGTTGAAAAACGCCCCCTGATTTAAATGGGCTTTGAAGTAACGACTAAATCTAAATGTATAATTAGAAATTTGGAATTAAACAATGTCAAGTTGATTTTTGCCCACTTAATTAATATATATAGTCTGAATCCTTGTTGTGGCAACGTAGTTCTATTTGTGAATCCCGTAGCCCAAGAACCAGTGTTGTTGTATCATATAATTTTTTAGACATCCACATGCCAATGACAGGTGAACTAGGACAAAACACATCAAACTGCAAGGTGGGCAGGTGAACCCACTGATGGTTCAGTTTCTCCGCCGCGTTGTGTATTGAATTTTCATCCAGCAATGACAGTTCATTTTCATTGAGGATTTATTGTAAATAACGACTATATGCAACCCATTTAAGCTTCGCCCTACACATACATACTTTGGGGAATCCAAAAGAGTTGCATTAATTTGTTGTTTACTAGCATTCATCGGCAGACATTAGAGGAAGGACATGTGATAGTTTGGTCTAAACCCCCGGCGATGACCCATTAGTCAATTAGGGTCCGTGGATGTGCAGGCTCTCTTCTGTTTTGTAGCCCCATCCTTTATTTTTCTATACTAAAAAAATCGAAATTAGGGGTGTCAATGGACCGATTTTGAATTGAATCAGTTCAGATTTAATGGTTCAAAATATTTATTGGATTTGATTGGACTTGATCTATCTATAATGAATTTATATTAGACTAGGTTGGATTGAACTAATATCTGATTCATTGATATAAAATAACAATATAGGTGTCAATAGACCAGATTTGATTAGAATTAATCTAAATTAAATAAATTTGATCAGATTGGACAGTCCAAACATTGAATTGGACTGGTCCAAAATATTCAATGGATTGAATTAGATCTAGTCCATTTGCATTGAACTAACATTGGACTGGATCGGATTGAACCAAATCCAGTCCAATGTAATGTCAATGTAATGTTCTTTTTTTTTTCTTTGAAGCAATGTCCCCCATCTTATTGAAGGATCTTTGAATTGTCCTGCAACCATGGTTGCAAGACATTCATCTCCGGTGAGTGCAGCCCAACAAATAAAAACATCTTTATAGTATAATGCTGATACTTGCTTTGGCCTCGTGCCAATACTTTTTTTTTTTTTTTGTTGCGCCAAAAAACTAGTGTTTCTTTAATAGTTCAATTTAATCCGTTCAGTTTAGTAAAGTTGCTCAGAGTGATTCAGGAATCTTTCACGTGGCTTTACAATAAGGGGTTTGATACCATATCTTTTCATGGCTGGGTTTTGATTGGTGAAAATTCTTTCCATACCATATGTCTTTCGCATCATAGATTTTCTTAAAAATTGGCTGTCCAAATTCGACAGCGTGGGTTGTTAATAGGACTTCCCCCACCCTGTACAATAGCTCACACCGACTTGATGTAACAATATCAGTGCTGAATGCATGGTTGGGTAAGTTAACGTGTCACACATCAAATGCGCTATTGACAACCCACGTGGACGGTCGAGGCTTTCTCTATGATAATATGATATACACTGGAACAGTTACGTGGCAAAAATAGACCAAGTAATATGAAAATATAAATTTTTGAGGTGGCAGTAAGTGGGCTGGGCCTTCGTTTATTAAGTATTCTTAATAAGCTCGAGCTAAAGGCCCAAGATAATTCGATGAAGCTGTAAAGACTATTTTAAAAGCAAAGGCAAAAGTATAAAAATTAGCTAAATTCTAAACAAAAATATCTATTCTATTTATATAAACGTAAAGTACCGATAAAATACAGACTAACTTTTTTTTATATCTTTT